TCCTTAGCAGTGCTATTCGCATGCTCCATCAACTGGTGAATTGAAGAACATGGTACCCAGATAAGGAAAGCTACATGTGACAATGTGGATGAATCTTGAAAATATGATGCTAAGTGAAAGAAGTCATACACAAAAGACCTTATATTGTATGATTTTGCTTCAATGAGATATGCATCATAGGCAAATCCATAGTAATGTGAAGTATTGTACTATGGCTGGCTTGGACTGGAAGAGTTGGAGGGAAATGGTAAACTTGTACTAATCTGTATGGACTGGCTGAGGGAGTCATAAAAATGTTCTACAATTGATTATGGTGATATTTGCACAACTCTGTTAATACAATAAAAATTAATTCACTGTATATTTTATGAGTGTTTTAAATAGTAGATGTGTTATTTCTCAATAAAGCTATTATATACAAAAGGAAATGGGATGTTCTATTGTTTAAGCTGCATGGTAAGCAAGTACATGGCTGCTCATTTTACTACAATTCTTTAAATTTGCATTTAGATTATTCTTTTTGTAAAACATGCATCTTAAGAAAAAGAAATTTTTTTTGAGGTCTGGCAGACCTAGATTCTGGCTCAACCACTTAACAGCTATGAGCTCTTGGAAGATTATTAAACCTAAGCCTTCCAACATCTTATCTGTAAAGAGGAGATGGTAATAATAGTAACTCCCTCAAAGACTTTTATATAATGTGCTTGGCATGTTGTCAGTGCTTTTATCATCTAATGGTAGCCGTAAGCCATTGAGCCAATTGCCTAAAAAAGCTAGGCCTCTCTTTCTTTAAACTCCCACTTTCAAACTGCTATTCCACAAGAGTTCAAAATTTGGGTCAGGAGAATAAAATTGACCTTCAAGTATGACCTACGGAATTCAACCTTAAAAATGTCCATACAGAATGGCTCTATAAAGCCAATGAAACTCCTTACAAACCAGAACAAAAACAAAAATTTCAGGGCAAGAATTTGGCTCTGTGGTTGTTGTTGCTTGGGACATCTGTGTACCATATTGCAGTGCCTGACTCCTCCACCTCTGGTCCAGCGTCCTGCTAATAAACCTGGGAAGCAACAGGTGATGGCCCAAGTACTTGGGTCCCTGCCACCCTCATGGGAGACCCACATGAAATTCCTCACTCTTGGCTTCAGTCTGGCCTAGCTGAAGCAGTTGTGGCATTTGTGGAAGGAACCAGCACATGGAAGATCTCTGTGTGTCTATCTCTTTATTACTGTGTGTTTTTCTGCATTTAAAATAAAATAAAAATAATAAAAATTCATAAAATAGAATTTAAAAAAATCAAAATTTCTGTTTTTCTGATGGTTAGTGTTAATTAATCTTCCAGTCTGATCCTGGGAGTGCAAATATAGGCCAGATTAAGTGAAGGATATTCTTTCCAGTCTTGAGTGACCACCAGAATCCATGTCAGTTCTGAATCTAGTCTCCAAACTAAGTCAAAATAACTTCTGGGTGTTGGGTTTGTTATTACACCACCTAGATTTCTTTTTTTTTCTTTTTTTCTTTAGTAAATATAAATTTCCAAAGTACAGTTAATGGATTACAATGGCTTCTCCCCCATAATTTCCCTCCCACTCACACCCCTCCCATCTCCCGCTCCCTCTCCCATTCCATTAACATCAAGATTCATTTTCAATTATCTTTATATACAGAAGATCGATTTAGTATATATTAAGTAAATATTTCATCAGTTTGCACCCACACAGAAACACAAAGTGTAAAATACTGTTTCAGTACTAGTTATAGATAGCATTGCTTCACATTGGACAACACACTAAGGACAGATCCCACATGAGAAGTAAGTACACAGTGACTCCTGTTGTTGACTTAACAATTTGACACTCTTGTTTATGGCGTCAGTAATCTCCCTAGGCTCTAGTCATGAGTTGCCAAGGCTATGGTCAAATTGCATCTTCAAGTATTTACAGTTTTTTAGCCCAGATGAATGTGTCAGTGATTGTGTGAGGGATGAATAGTCATAGGTTATAGAAGGGTAGGAAAGAGATGTGGGCCATCAATACGAAAGAAGGTAAAGGAAGAAAATCCCCAGTAAAAGATCACAGAACGTTCAAAGCATATATTAGAAATATCTTTGGAGGCCAGCACCACGGCTCACTTGACTAATCCTCTGCCTGTGGCGCTGGCACCCCGTGTTCGAGTCTGAGTTGGGGCAACGGATTCTGTCCCAGTTGCTCCTCTTCCAGTCCAGTTCTCTGCTGCGGCCCGGGAAGGCAGTGGAGGATGGCCAAGTGCTTGGGCCCTGCACCCGCATGGGAGACCAGGGGAAGCACCTGGCTCCTGGCTTTGGATCAGCGCGGTGCGCTGGCCGCAGTGCGCCAGCCGCAGCGGCCACTGAGGGCTGAACCAACGGAAAAGGAAGACCTTTCTCTCTGTCTCTCTCTCTCACTGTCCACTCTGCTGTCAAAAAAAAACTACACATTCTTCTCAGCAGTACATGGAACCTTCTCTAGGACTGACCACATACTAGGTCATAAAGCAAGTTTCAGCAAATTCAAAAGTATCGAAATCGTATCAAGCATCTTCTCAGACCACCATGGAATGAAGCTGGAAATTAGCAATTCAGGAATCCCTAGAGATATGCAAATACATGGAGACTGAACAACATGTTCCTGAATGAACAGTGGGTCACAGAAGAAATCAAAAGAGAAATCGAAAACTTTCTGGAAGTAAATGAGGATAACAACACAACATATCAAAACTTATGGGATACAGCAAAAGCAGTGTTAAGCGGAAAGTTTAGAGCAATAGGTGCCTACATCAGAAAATTGGAAAGGCACCAAATAAATGAGCTTTCCATGCATCTCAAGGATCTAGAAAAACTGCAGCAAACAAGACCCAAAACTAGTAGGAGATGAGAAATAATTAAAATCATAGAATAAATCAACAGGATTGAATCAAAAAAAATTACAAAAGATCAGCAAAACAAAGAGCTTGTTCTTTGAAAAAATAAACAAAATTGACGCCCCATTGGCAGAACTAACTAGAAAAAGAAAAGAACCAAATCCATAAAATCAGAGATGAAAAATGGAATGTAACAACAGACACCACGGAAATAAAAACAGTCATCAGAAATTACTACAAAGAGTTGTATGCCATCAAGACTAGTGTCTGCTAATTTAACTGATAGAATTAAAAAGGAAAGAACTATCCAGCATGGGAAGCAGGGTACACAGCAGACTCATAGAACGGCAGATTCCTAAACAGCACTCGAGCCTCAGAATCAGCCCTTACGGCATTCGGATCCGGCTAAAAATCCCATGACAGTAGTTCAGGCATGGAAAGCCAACACATTCTTGCAAAAAAAGAAAAAAAAAAAGAGAGAGAGAGACCTAAATGAAAGATCTCTGTTTGTGAGATCCCAGAGGAAAGAACAGGCCATCAAAGAAGAAGGTACCTTTCTCTGAAGGGAGGAGAGAACTTCCGCTTTGACTATGGCCTTGTCTAAATAAGATTGAAGTTGGCGAACTCCAAAGGCTTCCATAGCCTCAGCAGCTCATGACAAGAGCCTCGGGTGATCACTGACGTCATAAACAAGAGTGTCAATTGTTAAATCAACAACAGGAGTCACTGTGCACTTTCTCCCCATGTAGGATCTCTGTCCTTGATGTGTTGTACTATGTGAATTCACGGTAAAGCTACTACTCAAATAGTACTTTATACTTTGTGTTTCTGTGTGGGTGAAAACGGTTGAAATCTTTACTTAATATATACTAAATTGATCTTTTGTATATAAAGATAATTGAAAATGAATCTTGATTAAGAATGGGATGGGAGAGGGAGTGGGAGATGTGATGGTTGCAGGTGGGAGGGTGGTTATGGGGGGTAAAAGCCACTATAATCCAAAAGTTGTACTTTGGAATTTATATTTATTAAATAAAAGTTTAAAAAAAAAAGAGTAGTGGCACTTATCTAAGTTCCTTGCATGGACTCTTATTATTTTACTTAAAAATATTTGTTTATGTATTTGAAAGTCAGAGTTACAGATAGAAAGGGAGAGACAGAGACAGAGACAGAGAGAGAAAGAGAGAGAGAAAGATCTTCCATTCATTGGTACACTCCCCAGATGGCTGCAACAGCCAGGGCTGAGCCAAGCTGAAGCCAGGAGCCAGGAGCCTCTCCCAGGTCTCCCCCATGGGTTACAGGGGCCCAAGCATTTGGGTCATCTTCTGCTGCTCTTCAGAAATGGAGCAGCTGGGACATGAACTGGTGCCCATATGGGAAACTGGCATTGCAAACGACAGCTTTATTGACGGCCACAATGTTGGTCCATTTTTAAATAAGGCATTATTCTGTTACTCTTTGTTAACATGAAACAATTATAGTCACAAACAATTATCATCAGGATAATTTGCTTAAAGTTCCTATCACACAGCTCATAGTAAGTTATGGTTTCCTTCCACCTTTCCCTGCTAGTCACTGCCTTTTAGCCACATCACTGCTTGATTCTTCCTCTTCCCAGACAAGGGAAAGAAAAAGAGATAAACATAGGCAATTTACTTATTTATCAGAAACTCAGATAATACATTCATTGGGTTAGGCAATGATTAAACCATTGGATCTAATTGGGCTTTTCCTCTGGAAAACCATCATGTCCCTTTCCCTAAACCCCACACTGTTAACTACATTGCAAAGTCTCACAGAATCATCTTAATTACCATTTGTAATGCAACATGTTTCCAATGTAATTCAGTATCCACTTTTACCTCAGGATGTTATGCTCCAAGAGGGAAGAGGATATCTCTTTCCTGTTTACTACTATATCTCTATCAATTAGTATAAGGCCATGTACATGCTTAATAATTATTTGTTGGATTAATGGATAAGCAATCCAAGTAACCGCGAATACATTCCTGACATCATGAACAAGGATCATCAAGAGTTCAAATGGAGATCCTGTATTTCCAAACGAAGTGGTCCTAGGAAGGATATTATAAAACAGCCTAGTTGGACAAATGATTTACCTGTGCTGAGTGAGAACGTTTACAGCTGAAGGATGATTTGCACAGTAAGCCATATACATAGATTTAAAATGAGGCATGAGATTCAGGAGACAACCTCCTACTTTGTGTTGGTTTTCTGGAAATCTGTAAGCAAAACAGGTGAAACACAGAATGTAATACAGAAAACTGGAAGTAAAGGAAGATGCTACCAATTGAACCTGGCAGCATGTAAACTTTTTTTAATGTTCTGCCAAAGTTACAAGGGAAATGATATTAGAGCCATCTATTCAATGAAATGCTGATCCCTGACTGTTGCTTTAAGCTGTATCCATCAAACATAGGACTAATATATAGTGTCAGATAATTGGAATTGGTATGTATGTTCGCTCATTCATTTTTAAGATGCTGACATTCAAATTAAGCTAGGTATAATAAAAACCGCTCTTGCTTAAATTTATATTAAGGTAGAGTACAAACAAAACTAATGGAATCCAAAATTTACATACCACAAAATGGTATTATGTAGTCTTGCAGGCTTAGTAGTTAGGCAGAGTGGCCTCAAGATTTTTTAAGTTTTAAAATTACAAGTCACATGATTCCTTTTAGAGAAAAAAATCAGGAAAACAAAAAACAAAAAAAAAATTTATAATGCCACCATTTGGAGATAACTACTATAACAATTTTGGCATAGTCCTTGGACTTTTTGTGCATATTTCCTTATAAAATGAAAAATATCAAGATTATAAATCTACTTTGTAATCTCTCCTCTCACTTAGGAAACATCTTTCCCTATCAGTAACCTAGATCTCCATCGGCATCTGAAGTGGCTTCTCAGATCTTTTTGGAGTGGGCTCTCTCTCCATCTTCCTCTCTGGACAGCTGCTGTGCCTCATAAAACTAAAGAAATAGGCAATCACTTCAGTTTCCCAAGAGATGAAAGTCACCAACTTCTCTGTGATATACTGCTTGGAAAATTAATCTAGGCCGGCGCCGCGGCTCACTAGGCTAATCCTCCGCCTTGCGGCGCCAGCACACCGGGTTCTAGTCCTGGTCGGGGCGCCGGATTCTGTCCCGGTTGCCCCTCTTCCAGGCCAGTTCTCTGCTGTGGCCAGGGAGTGCAGTGGAGGATGGCCCAAGTCCTTGGGCCCTGCACCCCATGGGAGACCAGGAGAAGCACCTGGCTCCTGCCATCAGATCAGCGCGGTGCGCCGGCCGCAGCGCGCCGGCCGCAGCGGCCACTGGAGAGTGAACCAACGGCAAAGGAAGACCTTTCTCTCTGTCTCTCTCTCTCACTGTCCACTCTGCCTGTCAAAAATAAAAAAAAATAAAAAAAGGAAAATTAATCTAGCTCTAGAAATATATTGCCTAATGATCACTACAGTTCACCTTGTAGTGTGAAGTTGAACACCTCCACAATTAGCTAGCCATCAAAAGTACATTGTGGTTCACATAAAGATATTTTCCTTCCCTTAATTTCTATGTATTTCAACTGTTAATATAACAGACACAATATCAGGACTCACAAAAAGAGGAAAAAAACTTGTGAAATTAAATAATTTGAATAACTTTTTCAAGTATTTTGTAATGTGCAAAAGAATATATTGACAGGATGTCAAAGATGTCAACTAAAGCCTTCTGTGTCTCCTATACTGTACAGACACAGTAAACTGATGTACTTTTCAATTGAAGTTACAATTTCTTGGACAGAGAGCCCTTATATGTTGGTTATTTAGCACTGTGGACACCACAACCTATCGCATTTTCTTCACACTGGTACTTTGTTCTGGTATCATGTACTAATGCTGCAACAAATGCATAATATGATATGTCCTTGTCTAAGGCAACAGTTAAAAGAAAACAAAACGTAAACAACAACGTTGTTGGCTCATCTAATAGAAAGGTTACACTTACTTTGAACACTCTTCCAAGGCTTGGCAAAGTGTCTGTTGAAACGTGCATACTTCCTCAAAGTTTCCTAGCAAAGATGTGAACTCCACAGAACTCAGACTGAAAAAGAAACATGTAGTTTCAGTTAATACAATTAAGGATGACTTTAGTAATCTATCTTTACTGTATAGAGATACACTAATAAACAATTAGCTGAACGTGACCACTCCCTCACTGCCCTGGATCCCCTTGTTGTCCCGCACTTCCGGGGCACGTGGCCTTTGTGCCATCCGCTCTCTTCTTTTGCTGCTCATGCTAAGCTGCTTGTGGCTGCTCATAACCAAGTCCTTAATGTGCTGTACATTGAGATTTAATGCTATAACTAGTACTCAAACAGTATTTTTCACTTTGTGTTTCTATGTGGGAGCAAACTGTTGAAATCTTTACTTAATGCATGCTAAACTGATCTTCTGTATATAAAGAGAATCGAAAATGAATCTTGATGTGAATGGAAGGGGAGAGGGAGTGGGAAAGGGGAGGGTTGCGGGTGGGAGGGATGTTATGGGGGGGAAGCCATTGTAATCCATAAGCTGTACTTTGGAAATTTATATTCATTAAATAAAAGTTTAAAAAAAAATAACCAAACATTCATTGCACGCGGCTCTCGGCCTGCTCTCTGCTCAGTATGGACCCCAACTTAATTTCCGGACTTTTCCTTCTCCCTTAAAGCTCTCACTCCCCTATGCATTTCTCTCACTAAATAAAAAGCTTAAAAACTTCAAAAATAAACTGATCGTTTCCTAATATCTAGCAAATACTAGAGAAGCAATCCTATACAAGTAATTTAATTTTTTTTTAATTTACACCAACTCTATGATGGTAGCATCTTTCTTAAGTGTCTTTCCTGGATTTCCCCCTTTTTATAATAAGAATAATGATCCTAAAGAAAAATGACTGATAATCATGAACCCTTACATATTTAAAAAAAAAAAAAAACTTATTTATTTGAAAGTCTGAGTTAAGAGAGAGAGAAAGAGAGAAAGAGATCTTCCATCAGCTGGTTTACTCCCTGGATAGGCTGCAATGACCAGGGCTGGTTCAGGCAGAAGCCAGAAGCCAGGAGCTTCATCCAAGTCTCCCATGTGTGCCAGGGGCCCAAGCACTTGGGCCATCTTCTGCTTCTTCTCCAGGCCATCATCAGGGAGCTGGAGTGGAAGTGGAGCAGCCAGGACATGAACTGGGGCCATAGTGGATGCCAGAGTCATGCAGCAGCTTGACCTAATACATTACAATGCCAGACTCAACCCTTCGGTATTTTATAAATTAATAATAAGTGCTTAACATCAAGGTGTCTATAAAGATAACTACACCATAGCTGGGAATAAATAAAAACTTTTGAGTATCTTTCTCTAATGCAAGGGTAGAGAAAATTTACTCCACCAAGGGCCATTTGGGCATTTATAATATCATTTGCAGGCCATACAAAATTAGCAACTTAAAAAGTAGCCTGTTATAGATTTATTGAATTTTGAGGCCCACCTGTGGCTGACTTGGCAAGGCCAGACCAAATTACTTTATGGGTTTTACATGGCTCACTGGCCAGCTATTTCCTATCCCTGCCCTAGAGGAACTGGAACAGTAACTGAAAGATACTATATATGTTCATGAACTGCACTGAGAAAAATAGTGAAACTTACCTTCCCTTAAATTAAAATGCTCATAGATCATCAAAAGAAAATCTATGTGAGAGGAAGCAGGGAGGAAGAAAATCATATTGGTTATTTTTTGTTTGGTTGGTTTTGGAGTGGAATCCATTAAAGGCAAACTGAACACTTTTATCCTGGGCCTCTTTATGAAGAAAATTCTCATACATTTCTACATTACTGAGCACCCATACAGCGTTGAACATTTATACAAGCATTTTATAAATAAGAACTCATTTTAACTTTACAATTATTTTAGGGGGTCAGTACTATCACTGAACTCATTGCAAAGGTGAAGAAAACCAGGCACAGACAGACTAAGCCAATCACTCAGTCACAAAAGCAACAAGTAGCAAAGACAGAAATCAAACCAAAACATTAAAGCTTCAAAGTCCACACTGTCAATTACTTTTAGGAAGAAAACATGGGGCCAGTGCCATGGCTCACTTGGTTAATCTTCCACCTGTGACACCGGCATCGCATATGGGCGCCAGGTTCTAGTCCCGGTTGCTCCTCTTCCAATCTACCTCTCTGCTGTGGCCGGGAAGGCAGTGGAGGATGGCCCGAGTACTTGGGCCCTGCACCCGCATGGGAGACCGGGAGGAAGCACCTGGCTCCTGGCTTCAGATTGACGCAGTTCCTGCCGGAGTGGCCATTTGGAGGGTGAACCAACAGAAGGAGGACCTTTCTCTCTGTCTCTGTCTCTCTCTCTCTCTCTCTCTCTCTCTCTCACTGTCTATAACTCTACCTGTCAAATAAAAAAAAAGGAAGAAAACATTTCTGAAATTTTGCCGGCATGTGGTATACCAGAAAAAGCTGCTGCCTTCGACACCAGCATTCCTGTCTCAGCTGCTCCACTTCCAATCCAGCTCCCTGATAATGGCCTGGGAAAGTAGTAGAAGATGGCCCAAGTGTTTGGACCCCTGCACCCATGTGGGAGGCCTAGAGGAAGCTCCTGGCTCCTGGCTTTGGCCTGGCTCCGCCTTGGCTGTTGCAACTATCTGAGGAGTGAACTAGCGATGGCAGATCTCTCTCTCCCCCTCCCTCTCTGTAACTCGGACTTTGAAATAAATAAGTAAATCTTTAAAAACAACAACAACAACAAACAGTGTCTGCAAGATGTTCTTTCTTGTTGAGAATGTAACAGTACTGGGGAGTCTTTCCAAAAGAATAATTTTTGCTGACTAATAAAGGGAAAACCCAAACATTACCACTGAGCCCTGGAGTATAAAAAGCTCCCAGTTCCTCTGCTCTAATGTCCTCTTGAACCACAAGCTGGAAAACCCCTATTATGTGTGTCAAGAGTGAAACTTTAGCCAGTCAGCTCCCCTGGCTGTTGTTCTCTCATAGCAGCAACAACCTGAATCAGGGTCTTCCTTGAACCTGACTAGGGGCTAATGTGGCCCCTTCAGGATAAGGCAATAAACAGTCTGGTTTCTTCAAATCATTTTTGTGCTCACAAGATAGTCAGACCTAATGGAAACTTACTATAACTGCAAACTGAATTTAGACACAGGGCATGTCTGGCTCAGGTTTCATCTTCCTTTCTTCTCAATTTTTCTGATTGCTAATCAGCCCCCTCTTTCATTTGAAATCTTACCATCTCCCCTTCCAAGATAACCAGTTAAGTTCCCCTATCCTCCTCTGCCTATCTCTTCCAGAAAACACGAGGCACACTTCATTCAGTGGCTGGAAACACAGTGGAAGCAGTCTAGCCACTTGCTGGCTGTATGCTGGGCAAGCAGTAACATCTTTGAACTTCAGTTTCTTATCTATTTAATTCTCCTAGGACTCTAGACCTAATGATTTACTGAGGTTCCATTCATCTCTTAAGAACTATGATTCACAGAACACTTCATATTTCACATAATCATAAAATGCTTTATTATTGCTCATATTTAAAACTCTTTCACCAAGAACATGAAATCCTTTCATTCTGAAGAGATACTCTCATGCTGGAGAATAACCAAGTTGGAGATTCAACAAGACATTATGCCTAAACAAACATGATTTGGGGTGCAGGCATTGTGGCACAGCAGGTTACACCACAGCTAAGGACATCCACATCCCATATCAGAATGCTTTAGATGAAGTCCTATTGCTGCTTCTGATCCAGCTTCCTGGTAATGAGCTTGGGAGGCAGCAGATGACCTCCGTACTTGAGTCCCTGCCACCCTCATGGGAGACCAGATTGGAGTTTCTGGCTCCTGACTTCCACCTGGCCCAGCCCCAGCTGCTGCCAGCATTTGGGGAATGAACCAGCAGATAAACAATTCTCTCTCTCCCTCCCTCCGTCACTCCCTCCCTCCCTCTCCCTCTTCCTCTCTCTCTCCCTCTCTCCCCCTCCCTCCTCCTCTCCCTTTCCCTCTTCCCCTCCCTATCACCCTTTCTTTTAAATAAATAAATGAATCTTTTTTAAACAACACAAATTTTGGAAAAAAGGAGAATCAATGGAGAAATATATTAAACTCATCTAAGCCTAAAATTGATAGCTTACGCAACTGTCCCCAAAAAAGTCAACCACTACTAAGGTAAAAGGGCAGCCTTTTGTCTTCCATTATGTGGGCCAATTACTAAATTTCTATGTGACTTATACATTGTGATATAGAGTGAAATTAAATCAATCAAAATAAAAACACAAATAAATGCAGTTAGGCACTATTCGTTAAATATACCATATTTACAAACACACACACACAAAACAATGGTCATCATTCTTTGTTTCATGAAAAATTAGTTGTCAATCCAGGCCTTAGACAATCCCACTTCAGATTTCTAAAACCAGAATAAAGTGTGAACATTTTGTTTCAAAAAGTGTCTCTTTATCGTTTCCATGTGGCTCTGGGAAATACTGGTTTGAATTGCTCTTGTGAACATTCACAAAAATGCCTCACTCTTTCCACTCCCAGAGCATGGGAAAGAAAGAGGTTCTGCCCTGGAAAGCAAAGGTCAGAGTGAGCATGAGAATTTCCACTTTGTATGCTTTCTGAATGAAAACACCAGGGAGCTCTTTTTCTGTAAGGTGAAACCAGACATCACTTTAAAAATATACAACATGTGTGAAAGCTATAAAAGTTGATTTCATAGAAGTAGAGAATAGTAGTTATGAGAGGCTAGGAATCAGGTGGAGAGGGGGAATAGAAAGAGGATGGTTAATGGATACAGGGGTGCAGCTGGGTAGGAGAATTGACTTCTAATATTCTACAACAGAGTAGGGCAACTACAGTTGACAACAATTAATCATATGTTTCAAAATAGCTAGTAGAGAGCATTTTGAATGATCCAAATGCACATAAATGCTTAAGGTTTAAAATGATGGATCTGACAATTACCTTGATCTGCTCATTACACATTGTACACATGTACTGAAATATCATGCTTCCCTCTATACATATGTACATTTTCTGTGTGTTGACTTAAGTTTTTAATTAAAAATTTTTAATGAAGAAAAGGCAAAAAAATGTATGAGAAATGCAGATCACCTCATTCCTTCTACTACCGGAAGAGAAAGCAAGCCAAGCTCTACAAAAGCAACATCTTGAATAATTTCTGTTGCCCTGACCATGTTCTTGGCAATCTGCAATCTGTGGAAATTCTTCTTAAAGGGCACAATCAATTATTCAGTGACATAAGAGTAATGACTCCATATGCTGACATTTCTTGCTTTATTTAGGGAGGGGTTTAAAATAAAAATCTTACTTGTTATTGGACTGTAGGGGTCTCAAGTAAGTAACAAGAAGAGACTGGAGTTCTTTTGCATACTCTTTTTCAGTGTCCAGGATGTTCTGTAACACCTATGGAAAAATGAATATCAAAGTATTGTAATTGTCAAGACCATCCAAGATAAAATACAGATTTAGATCTTTTTACTAAATTACTAGGAAAAAAGAGGTCCTATTTACTCAGGCTAGCACAACAAATAAGGAGCATAAACTCTGAATGCCCTTTGTTTCAATCTAGCAAATTACTTTAATAATTACATGACAGCTGGTTATATTGCATAACTCACACAAACACAACTTTTCAGAGTTACCCATAACAGGAGGGACCTTGCCATTTACACTATTCAGAATTACTATTCAGAAGTCTTCCATGTGTTTTAAATCATTTTATCCTTAGAAAAGTTCTCATTTAGTTAACAAAGGATCCTTATTTTCTTTTTATAAATGAGAAAATTGAGACTGGGGTGGGCATCTGAAACAGTGCTTAAAACACTGCTTAGGACGTCCTCATCCCATATCAGAGTGCCTGCCTGGGTTCAAGTTCTGGCTCCACTCCCAATTCCAGCTTCCTGCTAATGTACACTCCTGATTCTCACTTCCTGCTAATGTGCAGCCTGGGTAGCAGCAGTGATGTCTAAAGTTCTTGGGTCCCTGACACCTATATGGGAGACCTGCATGGAGCTGCAGACTCCTAGCTTTGGCCTATCCCAGCCCTGGCTATTGTGGTTATTTGGGCAAGGAAGCTGCAGATGGAAGTTATTTGTCTATCTGTTTGTCTGTCTCTCTGATTTTCAAAAGAATAAAATAAATAAATAAATAAATAATTTATAAAAAAGAAAACTGAGACTAGCAATCTTAAGACATAAAGATTTGATATCAGGATAATTTTAGGATAACTGTAACGTCAAACATCACAAAATATTTTTGGTTAAGCTATGTTTCTGCTAAGACCTGTAGGGAACAATATCTGAGGATACAGTTAATTTTTAAGCAGAGTTATAATTGATATTTTAATAAAAGTTAAAAGGTGCTAGTGTGAATAATTCAAAGAGAAAAAGGAGGCTGAAATGTGAGAAATTTAGGAAGAGAAATAGTAGTTATTAGTCTTATTAATAACAATTATAATCCTATAAGTAAAACAATTATCAGTCATATTAATAACAATTACAGTCCTGTAAGTAAAACAACCAATGAATAGCCCCACAGTTTGTCTTCCTCTGACAGCCCTAGAGCATGACCCATTTCCCAGCCTTTTCTGGAGGCAGGTACAACCTTCATTTCAAGCCCTGAGAGATAACCAAGTTAATGTCTTGGTATACTTCTCTTTTGCATCTTTTAATTAACCCATCAAAAGTGTACTGAGCACCAACTCTGCCAAATGCTGTGCTGCCCACAGCGAATGTCCATAGTATTTGCAGAAGGAGATATTAAACCAGGGATTACAAAATAGAATGAGGCGTTCTTAGCCAGGAGAAGTGCTTTAGCCTACCAATATACGAGACATAAACATTTAGATTTCTCTTTCTATGGGTTCCACGTCTGTAGATTCAACCACAGACCAAACTATTGGGGGGGGGGATGCATCTACTAAACATTTACAGATTTTTCTTCATAATTATTTCCTAAAAATACATTGTAACATCTATTTTTATAACATTTGCATTGTATTAGGTATAAGAAATCTAAAGAAGTTTTAAAGCACACAGGTAGGTTTTATGCAAATACTATGCCACTTGTTTAAGAGATTTCAGCACTCTTGGATGTCACTATCCATGAGGAATCCTAAAATCAACCCCCTTGTGAAGATGGAAGACCACTGTACTCACAAGACAATGCATGATGATCTGTTTTTGAAACCTAGAGTAGCGAAAGTAAGTGGAGATCCAGGAAACCGTAAGTTTTCTGGGAAACAACTGGGCTAGAAGGTGTTAGTCCTGACTCTGTTACCAACTGGCTGGCATTTGCAGTTTTAAGGTTTCACTAACCTCATCTCAGATTGTGACATTTCACCTACCTCAGATATCATTGTGAACAGCTAGTGAGACACTGTATAAACAGGAGCTGTTTGAGTGGGAAAGAGTCTCACCAATTTACAGAGTTTAAAACATGGTTTCTCAGGGTGGGTGTTTAGCCTAGTAGTTAAGACAAGGGTTAAGATACCCATATTCCACAATGGAGTGCCTGGATTTGACTCCTGGCTCTAGCTCCCAACTCTGGTACCAGGCCAATCCTAGCCATTGCAGGCATTTGAGGAGTGATTCATCAGATGGGATATCTCTCTGTGTCTATGTGTCTCTCTGTCTATGTCTCTCTCTTTCTCTGTCCCCTCTCCCCATCTCTTGGCCTTTCAAATATAAATATATAAATAATTATTCTTTCTAAAGTTTCTCAATGATAGCAGCAGTGACATCTTGGACCAAATAACTATTTGATATAAGAGGATGTCCTGTGCATTGTAGAAAATTTAGCAGCATCCTTGGCCTCTACACACTAGATGCCAGTGGTACCTCACCATCTACTGCAGATATGACAAGCAAAAATAGTCCAAACATTGCCAAATAGCACCTAAATGGCATTATCACCACCCATTGGGAATCATTGGCTCAGAAGACATGGGACACAGAATGTGGCTTCAAAAACTAGGAGTTGGAGGCAGTGCTGTGGCCCAGCGGATTAAGCCACTACTTACTATGTTCACGTTACTTATTGGGGCACCAGTTGGAGTCCTGGCTGCTCCACTTCTGATCCAGCTCTCTGCTAATGCGCCTGGGAAAGCAGCAGAGGATAGTCCAAGTACTTGGGTCCCTGAACCCATGTGGGAGACACCAGTGGAGTTCCTGGCTCCTGGTTTCTGCCTGATCCAACTCCAGCTATTGAGGGCATTTGGGGATGAACTAGTGGATGGAAGATGTCACTCTCCTTCTCTCTCTTTCTCCCTCTCTCTCCCCCTCTCCTCTCCCCTCCCCAGTCACTCTACCTTTCAAAGAAGCAATTTTTTTTTTAGAGCTAGGAATTGGGGCCAGCGCTATGGCACAGCCAGTTAAAGCAGGCCCTGACCTGAAGTGCTGGCATCCCATGTGGATGTTGGGTCAAGTCCTGGATGCTCCACTTCTGATCCAGCTCTCTGCTATGGCCTGGGAAAGCAGTAGAAGATGGCTCAAGTCCTTGGGCCCCTGCACCATGTGGGAGACCTGGAAGAAGCTCCTGGATCCTGGCTTCGGATCAGCTCAGCTCTAGCTGTCGCGGCCATTTCGGGAGTGAACCAGTGGATGAAAGACCTCTTTCTCTGTCTCTACCTCTCTCTGTAACTCTGTCTTTCAAATAAATAAAATAAAACTTTAAATCTTTAAAAAAAATCTAAGAGTTAAGTTGGAGCTCCTACTCCTAGCCATTCCTATCTACTTTCCTCTGTTGCTTAGCAACTACTCTCCATAAATGTAAATCTAGGGAACTGCAGTTACTGATGTTCCTGGAAAAATTAATCCAGTGTTGTTTCCTGTGAAATTATCTTTCAAAAGTGAAGAAGAAATATAAACGTTTCTTAAACAAACAAAAACAGAGGGAATTTGTCACTAGTAGACCTACTTGGGTTTACATAATTGAAGGGAAGAACATTAGAGAAGGAAGAAATTAAAATTAAATTAAAAGTTCTACTTTTTATTACTCTTAATAAAACTAACAGGAAGCAGTTTATTTGAAATCATAACAGCAACAATGTATATGCTCATGTGTGCTTAAGTGGGAGTGAAATGAATGGCAGAAATAATACAAGAAGCTGAAATTAGGAGTAGAGCTGAGACTCTAATCCAAATACTCTAATATGCAGGTGTCCAACTGGCATCTTAACCACTACACCAAATGCCCATCAGGAAGGGAATTTTTAAATTAGAAAAATCACAAATATCATTTTCATCATAAAATGTGATTTTTTAAAAAATTAAACATTACTGTAATTCCATGGTTGGTATAATTCCACCTCTCTCTTCCCATCAAAATACCTTTATTATTTCAACTTCTTTATTAAAATAAGTTTAATATATTATATTATCAGTATCCTGCTTATATGAAATTGGTAAGAATTGTCAAGAAAGCTATTGGCTGTCCTCTGTTGGGTTTGTTTGCTAGGTGAGACAACACACTTTCTCATCTCTGCTGGAACCACTGGCATGGGACAGACAAAAGGAATAGATGAAGAAGGGAGACTTTGCGTGAACTCTGGACAGCAATAGCAAAATGCACATTAAACTTCCATGATTACAAGTGTTGAAGATGGCAGAATACTGACTTTCCTAAACTGACAAAAGTGATTAAGAATCCTTTTATCAAATTATGCCCATGAAAAAAAATCACATCTGAATGGTAATATAATAATGTAAGTGCTCTTGCTGTGGTTTGATTAGAAGAAATGCTCATCAGGGTGGATACTTGAGATTCTTTCCCAAATTCACATGGACTTTTATTGCTTTCCTCAATTTCAAAAGAGCCAGTGATGAACTTCTGAGACGGGTTCTTTATTTTTCAGGCCACAGGGCATCTAATTTAAAAGGATAAGAAGGCAAGCAGACAGAGAAGCCTATGTATTCTCAAACAGAAGGCTTCAGTGGTGAGTCAGAAGGCAAGGAGTTTGGCAGGGCAACCAACTTCAGAGCAGCACAATTTGATCAAGATGAAATCCATTCAGACTTACTAAAATAGACTGTGTCCAGACTGTCTTTGCCTTCCTCATTCTGTCTTCACAAGGACAACTGAGTATCCTTTTGCTCAACTAACCTTGGCCTGAATTCAGAATGAAACGGGTTGTAAGAAGCCATAGAAAAAAAAAGTGGAGGCCTTTTGTACCTCCGTCCTGGGATATTGATTTTCCAGTAAAATACATTTCCTCCATTTCCTGGAAAGGCTTTAGAGTGAGTCCATCTTTCTAAATATGTTTTCCAAAGGGAAGGAGTCATATAACTATGAAGAAATTGTTTTAAGAGGCTAAAGTGCATATGCAATGACTGAAGCTCGAGATATGGTAATGATAAAGGAATATTATAATGACCCCAGGAAATGTTAAATCCAAAGCAAAAATA